CTTTGTTTTGGCAATGTGAATACTGCTTTCTAGAGGTTGGTTTGTGTTGATTTAGGCTCCTCAAAGGTTGAAGTATTAGACAATGTGAGAATATTTTTTGGCAACTGCTTTGTGTTATTTCTCCACAGCAGTGACACACATGAATGTATTTGTAGAATACATTTCTATAGCTAGGACTTCATAACTTGTCACCAGTGATTTCCTAAAATACTATGGATTTGTGAACTTTTAATTTTTGATGAATGCTTGTTTGTTTATATTAGCGCTGTTAGAGACAGTGTGTAATGTGTTAATGCCTACATATAAAAAGTATTTGAGGATATATATATATTTTGTGTGCTTAAGTCGGACACTCATCAGTGATTGTGTGACAAACCCTGGTAAGCAACTAATTATACTGGTACTTAAGTAATCTTTAGAAGATAATGGGTAACAATCAATACTGTACAGCACATTCCTAATATTTAAAAATTTAGAAAGTTACCTTTAATCTTCAGTTACAGTATTTTCAACTATTTGTAGTCAGAAGTTCCATGAATAGTAGAAATGAAGCCTGTTTCCACTGGGTTTGTTTTTTCTTAGCTCTAGTGTATTTTCCTAATGCAAAACTCACCTACCTAATAGGTCCAGTGACAACCAACTGCAATATGTTCAAATTTTTCTCATACTGCAGGTCGTAACATCCTCACACCTTGTCCTGAGTGTGTTTAGGGCTCAAGATGAGTGCAGTCACATCAGGAAACAGTTTTTAAAACTGTTGCTTAGAATTAGAAAACTATGTTGAAATAAGGGATTAATAATATGGTTTTTTAATTTTGGTGTACTGTGTTCCAGGGCTTCATTCTTCTTTTTTTTTTCCTCAGACAAGCTCTACACAGTCTTCAATGTTTTCGATGATGATTCTACCTGCTGGACCTATCATGAAGGTGTTTTGTCTATGAAAGTAACAAGAAAGGGGCCAGTTATTAGTACACTGGAAGCAGACTGGCTAGAATTAACCACATTTTATTATAAACAAGGATTGTCTTTAATTGATTCTTTTGTACAGTGGGAAACTTCTAAAGGTGAGTACTGTCCCAGGATATCTTGAAGCTTTTACTTGTTTATGTAGAACTACATAATTTGAAAAAAGTAGATCATGTTCTGTGTCTTGGTGCGAAGGGTAGTGCATAAACATGTTTGGATAGTCATTGTAAATTTATAGGGATAGTCATTGTAAATTTATAGAATCTGATACCTGAAAAGGGAATAACTTATTTCCTGGGCATTTATAGCTCTGAATAATTGAAGTTTCTGCTTTTGTTATATCAAACTGACAATTTCCAAAGCAGAAAAGTAGTGTAGCATTATAATGAAATAAACGTTTGTGCTAGTTAGTTCTTCTTTAGTTTGAGTTTTTTAAAAGAAAAAGATAATAGGAGGGGAATCCTTAGATCTGTGTTTCCCTGATGTTCATATTCTGCTGATCACTGTAGATACTGTGCTGCATTCTGAATATTTCTAATGAGACAAAAAAGCACCATGAGAACTCAAGGTGCTCATTTACCATTAAATCCAAGTCAAACTTCCCGTGCTTCCTGTTTCTCAAGCTCTTTGGGCTTAAAAATTCTTTCTGAAACACCAAACTGCATTAAAATTTAACTGCTGATCCTGAAGTTTCAGGATGTTTCTGCAGGTTTTTCTGGTCAGATGTGGATATATGCAGAGAGTAGAGAAATCTGTTTGTCCTTACCCTCAACTGTAGGCAGATCCTCCAGAACCTTTTTATACAGCTGGGAGAGAGATTTTCCCTGGTCCCCTCTGCTTCCTGCACTCTTCCGCAGGTATCTGTAAGCTCAGTTAACACCCAGACTTACAATGGTAGAGGTTCAGGCCACAGCATTTTCAAATTTCCTTGTTTGTTCTGCCAGTTTCAGTTCAATCTCAGTTTTTGTTCTGGAGAAATCCTACTACCTCTCTTGGAGTTCCTAGCCTTCATCTTCCTGATGAATGGACATGAGCCTGCTGTCAGCAGTGCTGCTGCTGGCCCAGGCTCATCGCTGCGCACCCTGCTGTGCCCAAAAGCCTGCACTATGGCAGAGCTGTGAGACGGTGCTGTACCGCTGCTGACAACAGGAGCAGCTGTTGTGTTGGCTGTATGCTTGGCTGAAGTATTTTGAACTCTCAAACTCTGTTGTTGGCGAAATAGGTAATTGAGAGATTCATTTGTATTTGAACTGAATTTGTCTGAAAGCCGGAAATTGAAGTGTTGCAATAAGTAGTATGTAGCTACTGTTGTGCAATTACTTAAAAATAATGTCAAAAAAATGGTAGTACTCCAGTGTTAGGGGAACAGACCAAAAGAGTTTGACATAATTGTTTCAGAATATATTAATCATTGTAATAAATGTTTCTTGACACAAACTTAGAATTTTTTTCCTTGATGTTCTGATTTAAAATAATATGCATTCAGCAACCCCTTTGCCAGGCCTGGGTTAGTGAAAGGCTTAAATTAATTAATTAAAAAAAAAAGTTAGATTTTGTGGGTTCTTCAAAAATCAAACCCTGAAAATAATGAAAACTCTTCAGTTTTTGTTGTTTTCAGTTTAGTTTTGAGTGTAGCTCTGCAGCAAAGTACAGTTAGTGATTGTCAGAGGAGCACAAGTGCAATCAACATAACTATATTTACCTCAGACTGAATTTGGCAGCTAGTCCGTCTGAAACTGCATATTTGGTGCACATAAACAGTCTAATGGCACAGTTCCTGTTGGCCATCTTTTTTGCTCTTAAGTTATAATTCCTCTCTATTGAAGTCAGTGGAAGAACAAAGTTTCCTTTGGGGGAGGAGAGGTGAGAAATCAGACTCCTAGTTTTCAATACAGATTTTTTTAGAGCTGGAAAATAACTCTCTAGAGATATGTTACGATTCACCGAGGGGTGTTTTTGGCAGCTGCTGAAATTAATCTTTGCAGCTGTTGTCCAACAACAGTTTTGCAGTCTTCCCATTCCCCTGTAGCTGTCTGCTCTTCTCTCTGTGAATAGCTATCTCATTTTTAATATTCGGGTTATGACTTACATAGGAATTTCATGCTGCCTCTTTGCAGCAGTTGGTGCTTGTGCTTCAGCCCCACTTGACTGGTATGTATTTTGGTTAAACTCATGAGTGGGACACTGCTGAACTAAACTGGATAAATTCAAAGGTACAACTCCACTACGTGGATGGAATTCTGCAGCTGATCAAGTGTCTGTAACCACAGTAATGAACTAGTTTACTACTGAGTTCTTAAGCTAAAATGTTCGTTCTTGAGGTGAACGTTGAAGAGTTTTATAAGCAAATTGAAGTCTGGCATTCAATAGAGAAAAACCTAAAATGCTTTTTTGGGGGGAAAAAAGTATTTAAGCACTTGTAGTCATCACTGGAACTACTTCTTGTATGTCTGCATGTACACCTAGTTGTCATCTTCACCTCACTTGTTTGTTTGCTTTTAGACTATGACATGTCTTTAGCAGTAGTTGTCCTTTTATTTAGCTTTGACATGAGCAAATTTTAACTGTTGTTTCAATAAAAACACTGGATACAAGTCAGGCAGCTGCAGAAATCCTCCTCTGGTTTGGACTCTAAGTTTGCAGAGTCAGCAGAATTCTGTTGCCACCAAGATGAAAATCCACTATCAAATATAAGGCAAGAGGAAATTTTATTGTAAACAGAATTTTTATAAAAAATCATTGCCAATTCTTAAAAATTATTAACTTGTATATTCTGCTGCCAAAAGAGGATGCAGTCATAAAAATAATCCGGGTAAGTTCTCTTTTAGCAGCCATTTGGATCATTGTAGTGTTTCCTACATTTGTAGCTGCCTTGGAGGCTCTCATGATCATAGAAGTACCTACATTTTAAAAACAATGGAAGAAAGACATATTCTAACATGTTGTAGGTGGACTGCCCATTTTAAGTATCTGTCTGAACACTGAGGAGAGATCAAAGTCCATGGATTTATAAGATTGAGTATTCGTGAATTATTAGGAGCTGTTCAGATATTCATATGTTTGTGCCTGAAGCCATATATTCAGTTCCATGTACAATCACATATTTATGTGTAATGTAAAAATAAATGCACATGACCAATATATCTATAAATGCATGGAAGAGATATATGTATGCAAGTGTCTAAATAGTCATAACTCAAACTACACAAACCTGCTACATGCACTATAGTAAAAAATAGTATGAATAAGTAGTCAGTATTCTATGGTACATTAACAAGCGTGCTCAAAAACCAGGAATTCCTGGTTTACGTAGTACAACTTCTATGCCAATCTGGTCAATTTTTAAACCAGACCAGTTGTGTTCCATAAGCTTTCTTTGTTTGCTAGGTGGTTTGGGTTTTTTTCCTCTAAGTTACCTGGCTTCTCTGAAGCTGTGGCAAAAGCTTGCATCTCTTCAGATCTGTGTGTGCAATATTGGAGAGGATTTAAATCTGATATTTTGAGGATTACATAATTTTACAGTTCAAATTTAGTTCAAGACTAGGATGGTCGGCTGTCAAGGGACATCTGCGCCAAAGGCTTCCCAATGGCTCTTAGGAGAAGCAAAACCAGAAAATGAACCAGTATTTAATGCATAGCTTT